GTGAAAACCAATAAATTTTTGTGGAGCACAAATGATCCATACAATGCCCACTGATTTGGCGTAATAAGTTGTCGATTTGGAAGCGTAAGGAAGCTTTGTTAGATAAAAAATTGTTTGTAAAGAACTATTAAAGAAGATATGGAAATCCAGTCTTGGACCGCTTGATTACAGCTAGTCTTGAATAGCATGTTATTTATGGTGGGCCTTGAACGTGACACGGTTTTTTATATCACTTTTATTACGATTAACAGTCGTTTAAATTCCCTAGTCTTGATATTTGTTGATAAAAGACATGCTAGTAAACTAACTGACATACAAATCTCTTTACAAGATTGATTAGAGAAGACTTTAAATAAGCATATTTAGTCATTCGCGTGGGGCGAACGATTACGCGTGTTAAGTTGGCACACGTTCAGAGCTTTTCGCTGACAAACAGCGAATTGATGTTTCAATTTTGCAACATGGTTTTACTTATCCCAGTAATGGTGGCGCAACACGAGCAGTCTTGGTTGGCAATTTTTGTCGCCGACTCAATCATTAGTAAAATCTCGCGTGTGCCCGCGCTTACCACAACAAGATTATCTCGATGCCGACAGGATTTATCATACCAAATAAGGTTGATTTTTGGTCTCCGATTATTTTATAGTCTTGAAGAGAGAGCTTCATCATTCAATCAGATTCATTTTCCTTTCAATTGCATGACCCGCACGTCATTATCGACATAGTGGAAAACGACCAACTGGAAATTGTTGGTCTTTTCGTGTGCCCGCAGCCGGTCGGTGGAAGTCTTCTCAAGACTTCAGTCGCCGACAAAAATCGCCGACAAAGACAGTTTCAGCCTGCACCTTAAGGTGCATAAATTAGGATGTAAAATTCCATATATTTTCATTCTTAAAACATTAATATCAAAAAGATCAGAGTTATCGAAGCTTGTGTTTTGAAACTGGTATGTTTTTCATTTTTAGAGATAACTTTGACGGCATCTAAGTATGACGGAAAAGTAAGGTGTGTATCAGCTAATTCAAACAGAGCTAAGCTAGGGAAATTTAGAAATAAAGCTTCCAATTAAAAAAAAGAAAAATGTAATCTAAAGAAAATAAAATCAGATGTATTCTCAATTTAAATGAATTGTCAATCAAATCTCCCCAGAGCACAATAAGATTATTTAATATTTTTCTAGATACGGCGAGAAAGTAATCTTTTATTTCATGGCCCAGGTCTTAATTGATTTTCGCAGGCCAGACGCCGTTTAATATCGCCAGATATTTTACGATTACCATTTAAAAGAAATATATTCTTAATCAAGTGCTTTGAAAAAAAGAAATAATTTTTAATGAAGTTCCAACTAAAAGAAATGCACCTTGAACCGAATACGGTTTTCAATAGCATGCTAAAATTGATGCATAATTTATTTAAATTGTTTCACTGAATATTGTGCTGACTGTGCTTCCAAGACAAGATTGTCGAGTTGCCGACAGGATTTTGAACATCAAACCATGATATTGATACTTTTCAGCAATTTCTTTTCTCGTCGATAATTACATTCAAGAGAGGGCGTCATCATCTGATCAGATTCACTTTAACTTCAACTGTATGATCATCACACATAGGGAAAACAACCAACTGGATATTTTCTGTCTCCTCGTGTGCCTGAGGCCAGTTTTTAAAAACTATTGACAAGACTCAAGTTGGTGAAAAAAACCGTTCGTGTGCCCGCACCATAATTAACGACGGCCTTCGATTTTTGATTTTAGAGAGTGCCTTGTAGAGCTGCAGCCGACTAATTCTTAATAAGTATAAAATCATTAATCTAGAATTATAGGCATTCACCAAGCGCATAATAAACGTAGCATAAAAAGCCTTCTTAATTGATTTCTATCGTCAATTGAAATATTTTTAAACTTTATTCCCATTTTAACAAGAATTGATGATTCAGCTAGTTTTTATGAAATCTTAATGATTTCCTCTTACAATCATTGACTAAATCTTATTCTAGATTTGCTTGATTCGCAATAATCAAGTCATTAGTCTGCTGCTGATGACGATATGACGACTGTTTTCTTGAAATAGAAAATTATGTAACTTCTACTCATTAAATGCTCAATGCATGGATTCTGGGTATAAAAAGTTGAAGTTGGGTTAAGGTCGATTTTGCGACTGATAGAATTTGAGATGAAATAAATTGAAGACTGTTCGCAACTGGTGACAGTCATACACTGAATTTAATGAATATTGCAGTTGCTTATGTATTACTTGCTTACAATCCGTTGTTTTCACTTGCACTCAGTTTTAGAGACATAAGTGGTTGTTATAAAAAATGTCAAAATAAAAACAGGTGGATCGCTCGCTACAGAGGAATTAAATTGCGAATATCTTTTGATATTCAAACTACGAAGTTGATGAGTAAATTTCATGATTATATTTTTAGATTGACAGTTCAATTTCTCTTGAAAAGTCTACCTAAGTCCATCTGTTTAAAAGGAGGTCTTCTTATTCGATTCCAATTGGAGGAATGACACTTACATGTTTTTGTCATCAGGCTCTTGACAGGTTCAGATTGTTGACACGTTTTTCATTTTAATCCTCACCTTAATCATGTCATCAACTTTAACTAAATCAAGATTCTGATTCAAGAACGGGGATTTGGTTGATTTTTTTAATCATTTGACTATCGTTGATTGAGATTTCAATTTCAGTTCAGCATTATCGTGTTAATTTTGTCACATTTCATTAACTTACATAATCTGTGGTTGATCCAAGATATTCACTAAAAAACTTTGATTATGTGACTATTTATTTCAATTAAAATTTTAATACTTGTTTTAATGATGGATGCTGCAAAACCGTTAATTACGTTTTGTCCTTTTCTTATTTGATGCTTTTTGATGGTTTAGAGATGTTTCATATCGTAATGTGCATTATATTTGCAGTAATTCCCAGAATTTCCAAGAATGCAATATGTTTGGCATTTCTAAATAATGAGTTGATTTATGTGATCCCGGGTTATCTTAATTTAATAGTAACTTTTCTCCTCTCAGCTAATAAGGATTATTTGTTACATTCATTGCCCATGCCATTACCAAAGTAACTCTCGTTTTTAAACACACTGAAGGGGCCGTTGACGAGATAATATCCACTTAATGGGGTCGGAGATATAAAGCTGGTCATTCATAATTATAAATATATATTGATACTTAATATCACGAATCTAATCCATTGAAAACCTGTGGTTATAGGATGACATATGATGAATTTCAGTCTGTTTTTAAAGTATAAACCATAAATAGTTACAAAGGAAGAGATAGAATATTATAGCTGGGCATTTTTCTCATAACAAAAAGGAATTAAGATTTTACAGTGAATGATTGTTGATGTTCAAGATCAGTTAATGTTTTCAATCTTTCATAAAAAGCACTATACATGTATATGTTTTTTGATATGGTTTTGTGCAGGTCGGATCACAATAACACAGTTTGTGGATTTACACGTCGTGAAATTTTTGCAGAAAATAGTTAACAAGTAAACCGAATTCACACATTCACTCATGTGTAACTGAAAATTATATTTTGAATATAAAGGCCACGATGTGAATGGAACAGGAAATAAATGATATGATGGAAAATATGCCAGAAATTGTGTTTCAGTTTGGATGTTGCTACCGTGTTTCTCCAATAGAAATGAAAATTGCCTCATGAACTTTCATTACAATAAAGCTGCAACAATCACTTAAACAGAAATTTACTATGAAAATGGAGCATACTTCGTTTCATTCAATTTCCTGATCATTTTTTTCATGAATTTCCTGAACTATTGTTTTTGAATATTAATCGTTGTAGCGTTGCAACCCCCGAACGATGAAATCGATCAGTATAAAATCGAGAAATATTGGTGATTGTAGGTCTCTGTTGAAGTGCTTGATCAAGTGTGTTTTTCAACAAGGACCATCGAAACATCAATATAAAATTAGTTAAGTTAAAGAATTTATGTTCCTTGCCAAGTTGACATTCAATTGATTACTATCGTTCTTCCTGTCCACTTTTTCACGATTAATTTCATTTGACTTTTCCAGTCATATCAAACTGTAGTCTCTTGGTGATTGCATGAATCTTGTTTTTAAGATTTAATTTGGGCTGCGAATCTTCAAGGAAGCGCTTGATTAATGTGATTTAATCTTGAGGGTCCATAGAGGCACCAAGATGACTATGGATAAGGACGCAGGACAATTTTCCACAACTGACTTAATTTATTTGAAGATTTATAAAACTTAGTAATTCTGTGACACAAGCAATTCAATTGATTTTCCTAAAACCGTTCACACATTTTCCAACGCGATATACCATCGTAGAGAATCTTATACTGCATGTGCTTTTGGATTAGTGTAAGACGTACATACTCTGTAAGCCGAGATCATAGACGAACAGCTGGAGCAAGATATCAATTTTCGGGTTGACTGCCTTTGGTTAATGTTGTTAGTCTTTGTGATATATAATAAGCTGGACAGTGGTCTAAAATGGCACACCAATTATTAAAAGTCAATGGGATAACTGTAAGATGATTGTTAAAGATGACTGTTCAATTTCTGCGTTCTTCTGGTTTAAATAGTTTCTTAAAAGAAATAAAAATGAAATAACTGGTGTTTCAAATCATTTAATCAATGTTCTGGTTTTGAAATTGTCTGGGAATGAAATTAACTGTATTTATTCAGCAATGGGTTGCATCCATCTCACCGTTTAGTTAACGACCGAAGCTTGTCGATTAAAGAAGAACAAAGATAATTCCTTGATAATCCAGCTGTAAACAATAACAATTAGGTTTTATTCGTGGAGATTTATTCGTGCAGAATTAAAGACTGACAAACACCATGAGGTATCTGTATTTGACCTGATGTAGAAGAAAGATTCGGATGTGTTGATACGCGATAATCATTTTATAGTGCTTGAGACGTACCATTCATTTGTGCTTTTTTGGATTAAAAACGGGCGTTAAAGAATGCCTCAAAAATGTCGATGTTGGTAAGAAAGGCAACTATAGCCCGTAAAGGGCGACGATCTCGTTCGGCAAGTCTGAAATCTAGACCACTGTTAAATTTAAAGCGAGTAAGCAGTACAAGGTCTGACTGCACACCAGCTTCATTATCATTAGAAGATTCTACTATGGCATTTAGGAATACCAGGCGATGTTCCTCTCTACGTATTCAACCCACATCGGTTACCATTAAAGAGGAGGAACCTGTTACCATTTTAGAGGTAAGATGGAGTTCAATTCTCATGACTTTAATAAGGATATTCGATGGCTTTATGATATTTAACACAAAGATGATTTACATTTGCGTGGTGCTCATGCAACTTATCGTATTTGGAATTACTATGTTCATTGATCCTATTATCAGAGGAGCGAATTGCATTTTATTCTGGATTATTTCAAGTATCCCTGCGTTCCTTCTTAAAACGTTTTAAAAAAAACCATTTTGTTTTTACGCCCTTTAGTTGCGTTTTGTTGAGAAATGTATACAGGAATGCATTATCATGGTATGTAATGTGCCCCTTTTTCTTCGTTTTTATCCGTCTTCGTTAGCTGAAATGGTGCACAAAAGTTTGACTCAATTCATTTCATTTCTTTGTTTTTAAGTTATGTTATTTGTTTTATGTACACTGGAAGACATCGACTTATCGTTAATAATTATCAACTGTACATCAAGATGTATTTTATTTTTCTTGTGCATTTTTTCTCTAGCATTCGTATTGGAGCGTCAAAGGCATTGCATTGAAAAAAACTCTAACATTATGCAACTTTTGATGGTCGTTTATTTTGCCTTAAATGAAATGAAATGAATGGAGTTTTACCTCCTACTTTCTGCATCGGGAAACCGGGTTGAAAAATCCGAAGATATTATCTCGACCTATGCCGGAATTGAACCCTGGACCTTCAGGTTAGTGAGCAGTCGTCTAACTCACTGAGCCCCCGGGCCCCCCTTATTTTTCCTAAAGACGACATGTTTTGCACAATTCCTAGAGTAAAACTGTATTATTCAATGTAACAACGTTGATTTAAAACGTGAGAACTCCCAATAAAACTTGAGACGATATTGAGACAGTTGCTTTGATACTGTGTGATAATAGTATCAAAGTTTATGGTATAATACCAATAGTTACCTCGATCTTAAGTAAATATTTGTCTTTTGTGGTCGATGAATTAATGAGTAAGGGAAGTTATTTCCCTTCATTGATGTAGCGTGATTTATATGGAAAGTTCCGGTATTAATATCTCTTGCGAACTTGTAAAAAGCATTGTCTTTTAATGACATAAATTTCATTTTATTTCATTGATATTTACTTAATAATGCTTATACGACAACATAAAAAATACATTATTTAAAAACTTTTCGAAAGAAAATTTTTTTACTTCCGATGTTTAATTTGCAATGAAGTATGCAATTTTGACCTGATTGAATGGATGATATAAATTCTTGTGGCCACGGTGTGCAATCCAAAGAAATAAAGATGAAGCACATGTGTTAAAAAAGAGAGTCGAGGAAATGTAGAATATAATGACAGAATTAGTTGTGTCGCTGGTCACCATTCTCGTGGCATGACAAGCTGGGAACGACGTTCAACTATATTCACATCAGTCCGCCCCATTAAACCTACCTACAATCAGGTAAAAAACATTAAAGAATGATAAAATGGTGTTTTTAAAGAATTCCACTGAATGGATATGGTCATGATTTTTGCTTAGAACGTATTTGGTTATGAATATTGATTTATGAGAGGGAAACTGCACAGAGGATTGTAGTGCGGAAAATTCAAACGAAAAAAAGCTTATTATATTTTTTCTGCAATATTTTTTCGTGCAGCTTAGGGTAGTTACTTGACCATTTTTTGTAAGATTTGAATAATCAATATACAGAAATATTTGCCCACACAAATATCTTAACGTTATTAATAGATCTGTTCTATAACATTGCTGTAGGCTCGGAACTGAGAATGTGTTCAATTTCTTTATTTGGCTTTACTAATTGTAGCCATCGGACACAGTCCTGTTCTTACAATTAGTATAATCTTAAGCAAGTTTCTTCAAATAGACTGTAAATTGATTTAAAATTTCACTAAAATTTCGATTGTTTTAATATGAATTTCATAATTCTTTTCTTTCTTAGATGTTTCAGTAAAGTTTATGGCTTTAACCTTCACGATGAGACTTATTGACAGTTATTGAACTTTAATTCATTTTAGAGAAACTGACTGTAATAATTCAATACTAGCGTTGAAATTCTTTATCTTTAATACTGTTGTGGTTTGATTCATGGGTCTCGTAGTGAAATAGTAGTAGCGTCTAACCTTCTTGACAGGGGTTCAGATAAAGATGTAGTAACAACTCTTTTAACAGACTATTTCATGACATTTGAATGAGGCAATGAATCTTATAGACTTGTATGCTAGACTCAAACGAGTCAATGAATCTTTTAGTCTGGTAAGCTAAATGACAATGAGTGATGGAATTTTGTTTAGTCTTGTATTCAATAGTATCGTGCAAGGAGGGAGAGGAGGGGGTGTAATCGACTTCCAGAAATATCTGAATAGATCAATAACCAGCAGTTGTACCTAACGGCCTAAATATCCAGCATGACAATCACCTACAGTTGTACAGCCTCTGTGATTGTCAAACGCTTTTATAAAGAACTCCGGGACGAATTCTCTAACATCAGTACTAAACGTTTGGCGACTGCTTATGTTCTTGTCCATGGTAGATAAGATCCCCTTTCATAAACTCCCTGGAGCAATTGCTTTGCATTTTTTGAATTATTTGTTTATCTTGAAAGTCTCACGAGAAGTAGGTAACTTAAATTGATGTATTCCAATGCTGAAATCCAAAGTCTCCACTTGTGACCAAGGCCAGTGCTTCTATAAGAGAGCACCTCTTATAAAACCTAAAATCAGAATCTAAAGTCAACTTGATTTTCAGCGACTGCAATCAGTTGGTGGCATCTGGAAGAATCTTATCAAGCACTGTATTAACTCGAACTGGGTGCACCAACGACTCGAAATACATAACTGTCGCTATCGACCATTGGTTGGTCAAGTTCTACATTCTGGATAGTTGGAATGACAGAGCCGGTACTAAAGCAATTTGACTAAATAGCAAACTATACCAAGTTACCGACCGTATATTGTCTACTGGAGGTGAAAGGATACATCTATTCTATCACATCTTGAAATACACTGGTAAAAGCAGATGCAACCATTATTCAAAGATCACTTTCCCTGTGTTACGTTGGTCGCATAATTTTGACAAAATGTTTCAATTCAAACCCTTTACGTGGTGAAACAATGGCCTCTTCTGGATGATCCCATGATTGATAAATTAATTCAAACCTTAAGCCTTTGAAATTTATATAGAATTCCTAAGAGGTTTCTACTTAGACATAGTTAAGGTCATATTGCTAATGATAAATAATGATTTATAATGAGATATGTGGATAAATCATGTGTAGAAAACATCTATGTGGCTTTATTCTGTCTGTAAACAGATGAACTAATGAGATCCAGACCATCATAGGGACTAGATGATTAACCCGCGGCTAATTACCCGCAAGGTGGAACTCAACAAGCAAATGTCAAAGGCATGTTTCCATCTTCAAGTACCTCATTAACGTTCGACTCCTCTGACTTTGGCTTCTTTTGACAAATTTCCTGATTTAGAACGTTAGTATCGATATGGAATCTTGTTTCTGTACTGTTGTGTTTGTGTAAAGGTGTTTTTGTTGACATGAGTTGTTTTTTTTTTGTGGATAAGAGTTGTGTTATTTTTAAAAAAATCGGATACTGTCTCAAGGAAAGTGGAATGCTACCAAATTGAAATGCATGAGCATAACTTGTTGACAAAGAACTAGCCTATTTGTGGTCATGTGAAAATACTCCTTAGTGACGAAGCCATGCCAATGATGATGAGAACGGCAACAGTTGTCCGGAAGAACAGACGAAGATCTGCAGCAGCTTCATCACGCCAAGCTCAGAAAACAACAACATCTTTTAACAGACGAGCTTCAGCTCCATCAATGTCACCTCATCACCATCATCCAGTCTTTTCGCCTAGACCCATAAGTCGTAGTGCTGAGACTGTAGCAAGAACTGTAACTCCATATGCATCTCCTAGCAAAAGTGTTACATTTCATACGGAAACGGAGGAAATATGTATCAACTCTCGTCCGGACACATTAGCCATTAGAGGGGTAAGTACTTCTGTGCCATTTACAGCCACTAAATCTGTGAGTCGGTACGAAACGATACGTAGTGTATAATTTCATGACCACACTTATCTGGAAAGTATTCTTCTGTTGGCCATTAATCAACCTTGGAATGTTTTCAATTTCTAAGCAATGACTTTATCATTGTCAAATGTCATGTTCCATTCACACTTATACCTTGCTGTTTCTGTTCATAACTAATTCAATATCACCATAAAAACAGCAAGTAGAAAAATTGTTTCCTTTTAACGTGTTTAAAGATCGTTTTCTAAAACAGAAAACAATAAAAGTATAGATTAATCCGTTAACTTTGAGAAGAATAAAAATTCTCACATGATATTTTCTGATAATTATTAGAAATACATCGATTATTTCCCTTTGATGGAACTCTCTAATTGAAAAGACCCATTCATTGTAACGGAAAGGGATTAGGTTGACAAGCACATTACGTATTGAATACGACAATGATAAAATGTTTGAAGAAAGCTCAATTTATCGAATGGAGGATCTGTCAGATTTCTATAGAAAAATAAAATAGATTGCATTCAGTATCGCTCTTCATTATTGTAAACGTCTTTAAAAATAACTGCTCTTGACATTAAATATACGATTGAGTGGAAGTTCATTTCATGTGTAAGAAACTTGTATAAAGTAAGTGGTGAGGGAAATTGTTAAATGCTTATTGGAGTTTGCTGCTATCAAGGGCAGAGCTGCACAGTGAAGCCAAGCAATTCATTAATAAAGAATCAATCTCTGTTCAATTTATTTATAAACATTCAAATCAGAAATGCCTTGAAAATCACCCGAATTGCATTTTGATAGATATTATGTTTAATTTCGAGCAGGAATAAATGGCGCCAAAAAATAAAAAAAACGTTAACAACCTTCCATATTTGGAATGTTTCAAAATTATGCTGAAATATTTGACATTCAAAGCAAAAACAGTAGTCATTAAAATCGGATTTCAAAACTTTGTTATGATATTTGATAAGAAGGCCACTTTTCAATATGTAATGATATGGGCGTTGACATGGTAAATTTTGCGTCCGTTGAAATTCGTAGTTCAAAAACATTTCGAAAGTTTTAAGATTTCAAGTTATGGAAGTTATGTTAAATTACCAAAACAACTATTTTAAGCATGTGGGACGGTAAAATAAGGATGTTGGAGTCGTGCGAAATTCTGTCACGGAACTTCAAGTTTATGCACTGAATAGTGATGCTAGGAAAATCAGTATACATAAACACATCAACTGGCGTTAAATTTTGTGAGGCACATTTGATAGAAGACAGTCTTTCGTTCCTTATGCAGTGCAAAAACATAGCCTGGCTTCGGTTTCTTCATTCATTCGTTGAGAATTATTACTATTGTTAGTTTTAATGGTGTTAATTTAATTTGAAGGTGATGTCCATTTTCAAAAAATGAAAGAACGACGTCAATGAGAATTTATTGAAAGACTGCGGTTGGTGTTGCTAGCGATGCATGGTGCTCACCCTTCCATAACACCCAACTCAGCGACTTGGTATGTCTTCTCCTTGGTTGAGGTAGTCTGGAAACTTCACAGACAAATTTTGTTCAGATCAACTTAAATTTGTCTTTGATACCTCGTGATTAACGATGTATCGAACATATATCTTTCGCGGCCTACAGACTTTCGGATATGAAGAAAAGGGAATAATCGTCATGGGTTTAAATAGGTTCTTTCGTTCAAGATAATATAAACAGTCTCTTTACTGGAATTTATATTGAAATTCTACTGCTCTAATAAAGATAAGACATGTCAAGATTACTTGGTCTGGAATTCTCAACTTCTTTTAAATTACCTTCATCTTATATTCCATAGTTCATAATATATAGTCGGAATGAAGAGACTTTTCCAAAGTGCTGCTCAGTTACAGCCCGGTCACACCGGACTGCGACCATTCACAGTAATATTTGCGGCCAAACGAGAGAAAAATAATGGCGCCAGTGGCATAATGTCGTCAATGGCATAATGTCTGGTGTGCCCTACACGCTTATGGCGACCTTAACTCACTCTGAGCATATCTTCGATCACGATCGGTATTATATAATGGTTTTGTCCAATTTAATTGGAATTTTGTGAAATATATACGTGAAATCGTTTCCAATGGTACCAGTTAAGTCATTGTATGTTTATGCTCTGGTATTACAGCTGAATAGGTCTTCGTTTTAAACCACAGTGATTCTTGCTTTTGAAATACGCGTCTCATTTTCTATAATGATGTGTATGATTTGATCAATTTTTTTAGCTAATGGATTTTGACCGCAAAACTGTTGTTTGGTTGAGTGTACGAGGGTTGGCTGAAACGTCGAGTAATGAAAAAAGGAATGATGATGTGATGTCCACTGTGAATGCCTTTTTATACGCTCACATGCAATGGGGGCGTATATTGCCGTCACCCATGTCCGTTCGCCCGTCCGTCCGTCGATCCGTCGGTCCGTCCACAATTGCTCGTAAACACTCTACAAGACACAATTCTTGACGGATTTTGACGAAACTTTGTGTGAGTGTTGGTAATCACCCAAGGATGAACCCTATTGAAAATCAGAAGAATTGAAAAATATTAAGTATGAGTTATTGCCCTTGTTCTTGAAAACGCTTTCAAATTTAGCTCTAAAACACCAAAAGGCATGATTGTTGATGGAGTTTGACAATACTTGGTTTTATTATTCAGTCCCGCGCTGAAGATTGAATATTTGCCTTCTAGAGTGTTCACGAGCTAAAAATTTAACACGTTTTCAAGAACAAGGGCAATAACTCATACTCAATATTATTCAGTATCGCCCTAAAGAGTTGAAAAGAAATGTATGACTGAAGGTTGAATATTTCATACTGGTGATTGTTACTGTACAGCTAAATATTTTTATTCAAAATCAAAGCTGCCAGTGGGCGTATATTACCTTGCCTGGCAAGCAATCTTTTATGGTGACTGCATAAAACTTTTTAAACCTGACAGAAGACCACGTAAAGACAAAACTAAAACCATCGACCAGGTACGAGACTTTAAAAGTAAGGTTTAGAACTTTTCGGCCAGCCCTCGTGTGTAGGTTTTCTCGTGTAAATCTCAATCATTTTAGATGATCAGCAATAGGCACTAAAGCTGAAATATATTTTCTAAGATATAATATTGAAGCGGAGGGGAATGTCAGAGGTATATATTAAGATTTATGCAGTTGTTTAATTTGTCAAAGATTTCTTCTTTAAAAATATTTGAAATAAATTGTTATTCGCGAACACTACTTAAAACCATAAACCCAGTCGCCGTTCAATAATGAATCGTCTTGGCGCTTTTAGACGCTTCATATTTCTTTCTGTCACTTCCAAGGGTGTTTGTAATCTGTCGTGGCATTTGATACTGCATCATGATGTGTTACCAATTTTTTATCCATGGATAATAGTTTGATATTGCTGCTGTTTGTACTTTTCCGATTTCTAGTTCGGTGAAATCGAAATGGTATATCACACAATTTATTATTTTGTTTCATTCACAGAGTATAGTTTGTACTTTTTCGATTTTCATTCCAATGTGTAGTTTCATTCGAAAAATCGTAATGATGCAAATAGTAGTTTCTTAGGCTATTTGCTTACGCATATCAAGTGAACGGAATGCTCTTGTGTACTTATTTAAATACAAATTAAACGTATGGTTAACATGATATTGTTTAAGTTACTCGTTTTATTGAATTACCGATTCGGAAACATATTTGAATCTTAAATTGGATATTGCAAAAAGCTTTGGGGTAGTTTATAAAATGCTTGATATAAATAAATTCTCGCAATCATTTCCTGTATATTATTGAACAATTAGACTATCTGACAATAACTTCCCATCCCGATTTCTAAGTCGGAAACAAAATGTCTAAACGTCCAAATTTATTTGTATATATACCACATCAAGAATCTAAACGGTTACTTATCGGCAGATATCCAATTAAAATATAACTAGTAACATTAATTACTAGAATCATTCTATACCAAGACATGTTCAATAGAACCGACTTCACTAATTGACAAATATAATGCTTTAATCCTGCGATATCACTCCTGACCAGCCGAAGGATCTAATAGAAATTGAAAGAAGATCAGGTTATCGGGCGATGATTAGTTCTGAGGTGATGACGGCTAAGGTTTTAGACAGAGACAGTCGATATGATGATCTATCGACCCTACAGCAAGATTGTCTTGTGATCTATACGGTAATGAAGTAGATTATTAGAGGAACCTGTCACTTATTCTGCACTCTATTATTATATATAATGTCTGTATTAAGGGGCGGTAACCTTGATTGGTGTTTCCGGTCGATTGATCCAAAGTCAGATTCTCGTCGTTAAAAGCCAATATGTGGTATTAACTTTGTCGATTTGAAGAGTGTAATCCGAACAGAGATGGAAGACGTTTCTGTTGATCGATATCATTAAAAATCACATATTGATTGCTTTTTACGTTTCACTGTAGTTAGTGAAAGATGTTTGCAATACCTTGTGATCGGACACAATAGAAATGGAAAATGTCTATGTTGGGACGGACTGGAACTACCGTTAGAAAGAACCGGCGACGTTCTTCCAGCAATTCAAGGACTAGTACCTCCTCGGGAACTAGGCGTGGCTCGGCACCTACTGTTCTGGTGCCAACTCAAGGCCAATGTCCAAAATTAGCCGTAGATGCCGTTACTCCGCAGCGTCATTCTTTGACTACCAGTGTTGCGCCTTCTAGTATTAAAAGTGTGTCTTTTTGCCTTGAAGGAAATGACGATGAAAAGACTTGCATTCAAAAGGTAAGATACTTTATCTTTCATCACATGTATTCCATATTCTAAGGGGAAAGCTATGCCTATCATTAAGAAAGTATTAATTTGTTGAAGAGTTGAAATATCAAGAGTCTTGTTTTGCTGAGACCATTGTACGAATTAATTGGCATGTTTGTCAGAAAGTTATATCATAGGAAGAAAGCTTGTAATTTATTCAGGTTTCAGTAAGGCCAACTTGCAAAAAGGCAAGCAGATAACGTTAGTCTTAAATTTGAGAAAAAAGTAGTTCAAATTGACAAGTCGTCGGAATTTTTCCACCGTATTGACTTTTAAGCGAATTAGTCCCATTTACTCTTTATAAATCTGTCCGCAGCTTAAGTATTCATTTACAGATTAATTCGATTTTGTATTAGAAAGCAGTTAAAAGGGAAGTAAGGAACCATGTTACAGACAGGCGACCTGGAACTTGCCAAGTTGAACCGGAAATTTACATCAGCTGTCTCATAGAATTCACTTATTCCGTGGTTTCAGTCATCAGACGTGTTAAGTCTAATTTCACTTTAATAAAACCTGGGAACGTCTTTTTTCTTCTAAAAAATATCCTTAAAGATTGAGATGCTCGTTTATATTCTCTCTGGTAGTGTCATGTTCCACATATGTTTAAATCAGATTGCTGTATAGCAGTGGATCATTGACTTTGCTCATCAATAATTCCACTCTCAATGATGAAGGTTTGTATTACTATGATGAAAAATCTCTATTTTAACTCTTTTAAAGATATAATGAGTTTTTTCCAGAAGTTAGTCTACATAATCTTTACTTATGGGTCTATGGCACCAAGAAATTCACAAGAATTTATGGTCAAGTGGCAAAATTAATCTTGAAACTTGACAAAAGCAGAAATTGCTTGAAACAATGTTTCAAGTTGAATGTTTGATAGAGAAGTTTTATCATACTGGATTTTTTTTTAACTATTGCACCATGAATTGGTTATGTTTTACATTTGTTTGAATGTACATCATAATATAAATGTGTAGCTTGCATTTTTGAACTTAAAATACTTTTTTTTGCTTTAACTATTTTAATAATTGCATAACATAAAATGAATACAAAATCAACGATAGTTGCCATATCGTTTTTATTTGAATAAATATAAATTTTTCTTACAGTCTGTGTGGCACCAAACCTGTGGATGCTTGAAAAATAGGTATCATTATAATGTGACTACTACTGAGTTAGTTGTTCTGAAATTAATCTGGATGTTTATGTCCAACTGTTTAGATAACTATAAAGTAAATAAAGTACCTAGAGAATATTGAAGGCTCAGTTGTTGAAAGCAATTTTAAAACATAATATACAATTTTAATTCCTCATTGCGGTATAGCATTTATATGTGTGTGTAGTTTTACAATGTATTGCTATTACGAACCGCAGTCTTATATCTTGACTGCAATGGAGTGTTTAAAGTTTGAAAATGCAGCGATTTGGTCGGTGAGTGAATACAGCCAATCAGAGTTCTCGACATAAAAATCTGTAAACAATAAGCCTGTATGTTTACAGTCAATTGGCTGCATTCGCTGTTGTAATTGTAAATTCCAATTAAATCTCTGCATTCCGTGCTACAAGAAAGGTGACGTATGCAGTTAAGGTATAAGACGAAGGTCGTGACATTGTAAGGATAATGTATATGATACTTTTCCGATTTTCTATGTCTGTGGTTCCTGAAGTATATCAGAATTTTGAACCGATTCCTACGTAACTATCGCATATGTAAAGCTAAATTATAGATGAAAAGATAAGATATTGGTTGTTGTAGAAAGAAAGAAAATCAATATTTAGATATTCTCTTTGAATTAATATGGTGTTTAACGCCTACTTCAAAAAATAGGCGTATTAAATATGAAAATGCAGAACGGTGAGATCTTTAACATCTTGAATGCTTTTTTAATTATTCCCTTTGACTTTGCTAAAACACATCAAAATCAGCTTATTAGCGCGATCGAAACTGGGTACTCGTTTGTCAAAGCGTGAGTCGCTTCATCTGCTATGCATGGGTATGACAACGTGTATATGGATTGTCAAGATACAGATTTCATTGAAAGCCAAGGGTCAATACTTCTTAGACAATGAAAACTCGGAGAGATCGGTTAATTGCTATCGTACCTTATCTTACGATATGATATTTCCATATTGATATTTTGGAATTTGGAATTATTGACTTTCAGCATGTTTTAAGGCTAAGTTTTAAGGTTAAAACCTAGAAATACTCTGTTATCATGATTAACTAAAGAATACAATCTCAAGTAGTTGTATCATTATGGTAATCAATATTCTTAATGTTCTCTGTTAATTAATGGTTTTCTGCATTGATTGGTTTTAAAGTCTATGAATGGCTAACGAAAATCTAATATTAGAATTTTCACTATTTTATTTGATACTATGCTCATTATCCTGATAAGATCCTTTAATTATTGAACAATTATAACTCAGTTCGATTTTTTAAAATCTTTATCACAATACTTGGTAACTTAACCGTTTTGAACAGTTTAAATAGCCTATGTTATAAAGTATATTTTTGTATATTGGTGACTTATACTTGTGCTACTTGCGTTATAGAAACTTCAGGGAAAGGTAATACCGATGTACTGGCAATATCTCCCCTTCCAGTTTTAATCAACAGTGAAAGAATGCCACACATGGAAAATTTTTTGGCCCCCCTCACCTGGTGTTTCTAGAAATGCCACTGAATATTTCCCTCATTAAACACTCCGTGTGTTTTTTTTAAAGACGGAAATAGTACATTTCAAGGGATTTATAACTTTATAATTGTGAGATAACAGTAAAAAGGCGTGGTTAATGTGTCTTATCATTATATGTTTAAAAAAATCAATGTTTTCTTATCTCCCATATTGATAACTGTTACAGTGTGTCAAATGATATTATTGAAAAATAATTAATGGGCTGAGATTTCTATAAGCACTGTAGATCAATGCTGTCACTAACAATGAGTATATCAATATAGATAAACCTAGTTTTACTAAACATTGTATATATTGAAAAAGATAAACCTAGTTTTACTTTACATTGTATATATTGAAAAAGATAAACCTAGTTTTACTTTACATTGTATATATCGAAACAGATAAACCTAGTTTTACTAAACATTATATATATCTAACAGTTAAACTTAGTTTTACTAAACATTGTATATATCGAAACAGATAAACCTAGTTTTACTAAACATCGTATATATCGAAACAGATAAACCTAGTTTTACTAAACATCGTATATATCGAAACAGATAAGCCTAGTTTTACTAAACATCGTATATATCGAAACAGATAAACCTAGTTTTACTAAACATTGTATATATCGAAACAGATAAACCTAGTTTTACTAAACATCGTATATATCGAAACAGATAAACCTAGTTTTACTAAACATCGTCTATATTGAAACAGATAAACCTAGTTTTACTAAACATTGTATATATCGAAACAGATAAACCTATTTTACTAAACATTGTAAATATCGAAACAGATAAACCTAGTTTTACTAAACATCGTATATATCGAAACAGATAAACCTAGTTTTACTAAACATTGTATATATCGAAACAGATAAACCTATTTTACTAAACATTGTAAATATCGAAACAGATAAACCTAGTTTTATTAAACATCGTATATATCGAAACAGATAAACCTATTTTACTAAACATTGTATATATCGAAACAGATAAACCTAGTTTTACTAAACATCGTATATATCGAAACAGATAAACCTAGTTTTACTAACCATTGTATATATAGAAACAGATAAACCTAGTTTTACTAAACATCGTATATATCGAAACAGATAAACCTATTTTACTAAACATTGTAAATATCGAAACAGATAAACCTAGTTTTACTAAACATCGCATATATCGAAACAGATAAGCCTAGTTTTACTAAACATTGTATATATCGAAACAGATAAACCTATTTTACTAAACATTGTAAATATCGAAACAGATAAACCTAGTTTTACTAAACATCGTATATATCGAAACAGATAAACCTAGTTTTACTAAACATTGTATATATCGAAACAGATAAACCTATTTTACTAAACATTGTAAATATCGAAACAGATAAACCTAGTTTTACTAAACATCGTATATATCGAAACAGATAAACCTATTTTACTAAACATTGTAAATATCGAAACAGATAAACCTAGTTTTACGAAGAAAATAATTTCGATATAGATAATCCTTATTTTTTAATTTAATATATCTATTTATTAGAAAAACCCACTTTAACCAAACAATATACATGTACAAGGTGTGTTAGAAAAGTTCTAGGATTAGTGTCAGTGTCACTATAAATTTATTTCGAAGTAATCCCCCGAGACTGAAACAATTTCCCATCCTTATCAACTACGCTTGAATGCATTTCTGGATTTTCTTGGAGTCTCCGCTGTTCCCGTCTTCGCAGCTTTCTTGATGGCGTCCACGTCTCCAATAGAGGTTCCTCGGCCAGGAACTATTCGGGCATTGGTAACAGTCGCGTTACCATGGTGAATTAGCTACGAGTTGTCCTACCCCAAGCAAACGTAAGAGTAGTATCTATTTGTAAATATACTGATCCATCGTCTCTAACATCATAGAATGTGATCAATATTCCTTTTACTAGGGACTTCGACCGTCTTGATATCTTCGGCTTTGGCAACGTCGGACTTTTAGTATTGTGTCCAGGTCTAACTCAAATGACCCTGATTAACAATTCTGGTTCGGATTTATGACGCTCCAGGATGTCCCGACACACATTAAACCAAGAAGGGCTTGACGAGAGAATTGCGAAGAATCCCAGTAACTTCTTCACGGGAGTGCTGGCAAGCTTTGCAGCGAAGGATGGGAAAGTGCGATTGGAAAAATTTACAGTTTTGCGACACCAGTCCTTGAAAATGTCTGACACACCTGGTATATTATTATTGTGGAATTGTGGAATGCTGAAAAAGCTGTGAATTTATTTTTTCAACATACACCGCACTCGTATTTTCTGATGATGAAAATTGTAAAATCAATATATATTTTCTGCTTTTGTCAATTTTTCTTAAACTTAGCAGACCGACGCTGTACACATAGTTGCCAACTGTAGCGAAACTATTACTTCTGCGGTTACATTATTTGCAGTATTCTATTTACCAAAGTTTTGATGTCATATCTCTGAATTTAGAACTAGTTACGTCAAATTTCAATTAGCATGTCGTAAAGTAATATTAGATATGAATGAATATTATTCTAAATTAAATTAGAACTTTATTACGCCATTACGTCTTTTATTATCAATGTTAATTCTAGAATTTCTTTTAAGATAAACATGAAGATGTTTACTTTACTTGACATAGCACAGTGTGGAACGAATCCAATCTACGTCAGGCTACGTTGGAGATCGGATGAAGGGAGGATTTGATTTTATCAAAATGTACTGGCCTATGGCGTTTTTTGGTTCCTTTATTACATAAAATCATTTGATCAAAACTTACATGTAAACTATTTCATCGTACACATTTTTTCAATTGTGTGAGTTATTTATTATCTTTAGATGCTTCCATTATAATGGTTTTTGGAAACAATGTGCTGCATGTTTTTGTTTGGTTTCATTCAGTGGTCTTTAAGTATAAAAAAATATATATTCACTCATGGTTAATTTTCTGACAGGCTATTGTAATTCAGATGTTACTGAGCTGCTACGGCGACGAAAAATTAGCTCAAAGCGTATAAAGGTCGCCATAAGCGTGATGCAAACGTCAGATATCGTTAAATTATAATCCCTCTCGAAATGCTTTACTTTGAAAATTATGGGCTCTCTCTTGGAAGTTATGCTAAATCTCTGAAATTATGGCCTCTCTTGAAAATTGTGGTTTCTTTCTAAAAATTATAGTCTCTTTTAAAAATTATGGCTTTACTGGAATCTATGCTTTCTTTTGGAAATTATTATTTAAAACAGTCCTACATTTCAACAACTACCTTTCCACAGAGACTGTTATTTATTGCAAATATAACTTGAAATGTGTTTATGTATTTATCAAATGAATAAAACAAGCCATTTGGAAATTAATTACATTGCCATTAAATTAATGAGAAACATTTGACTTCAAGGCTCAAGCAGATTCATTTTGCAACATGTTATAAATAGTTTCCAGTCAAGTAATTTCATTATCATCATCACAAATACTATTTGCTTTGAAGGGAATGTTCCCTGTAATACAAAAAAAATACCCATCCTGACTGACATACACTAGAAGAATAAGTTCCTTAAAATTACAAATT